GTGGAGCTCTTTGTTATTTATAATGAATGTTTTGAGACTGAGTGGTTGAGGAGTCCATTTGAAATGTTGAATGTTCACCTAGTCATATCTTAAAGCTTCTTGTGGTCATTCCAACCTAGGGCATTCTAAAAGATAAATAAAAATTTTGATATTACAGCTGATAGAATCTTTGATAGAATATGTCTTTTGAGTTCTGTTAGAATTAAACTGGGTGATTTTAGATTTTGTGGATGAGTCCGTGCTTCTACATACTTTGCATCGCTTACATTTGTAAAAACCTTTTGTTTTGGATAGAAAAGAGGAGGATAATTGGTGCTTTTTGGTCTTTTCTTTAGTAATGTTGGAGGTTAAAATAGATTTAAAATTGGGGGCTTCCTTGAATACGATGTTTGGTTGGTCGGGTATGATCTCTTTGAGGACATCATCTTGTTTTAAAAGGTGCCAATGTTTTTTAACTATTTTCTTGATTTGATTACTTTTGTTGTTAAAACCAAAGATAATAAGCAGAGTAGGTTGGTTAACATTCAGATTTTCTTTATAGTTTAAAAGATCAGTTCTTTCTTTTTTTATAGAATCTATTGTGTGGTTGAGGTTGGTTGGGGAGTAATGTTTTTCAATAAATTTTTTTTTTAAATCGGAATTGTTGGTTGAAATCCTCAATTTGAGACCAGTTTCTCCGCAGCCATAGGAACTGGCTCTTTGGGGCAACCTCTAGCCATGGCTTATAGAGGCTGCTAGATTGATCGATGGCTGTGTTTGTGCATACTTTTTTTAAAAACATTTTGGCATAAAATAAAAATGTCTAAATCTAAAAAATTGATAGTTGTAGTGTTAATATGGTTTAAAAAAAGAGTTAAGTGAATCCTCTGAGCCATCCTATATAAAAAAAAAGGTCATCAATATATCTAAAATAGGTAACCAGGTTTGCCCGCCAGGCATGTCATCCCAGATGGCAGTGGATTTCCAATCTGCCATAAAGAGGTTAGCATAGCTGGGGGCAAACCTAGTCCCCATGGTAATGCCTCTCCTTTGGAGAGAAAAACAATGAAAAAAACAAAAATAATTGTTATTTAAAGTGATATCTATACCTTCTAAAAAAAAAAATTGAAATTGCTGAGATTCTTTTTTCGCTAAATAAAATCTTCCTGACAGATTGACACCCTATATCATGTGGGATTATGGTATTTAATAACTGAACATCAGAGGTGACTAAAAGAAAATTGGGTTGCCAAGTAAGAAAAATAAAATTTTTTAGGAATGACAACAGATCCCCAGATGTTGTAGAACTACAACTCCCATGATGCCTTGCATGCCTTTAGAATGCATTTAGAATGACAAAGCATCATGGGAGTTGTAGCTCTACAACATCTGTGGATCTACCTGTTGGGCAGCCCTGACATAGAGTCTTTTAGATAGGACTTCATTCTTTGGACAGATGGCTGGAGAAGGATGTCTATGTATTGAGACAGATTGCAAAAGATGGAGCCAATGCCTGATACGATGGGTCTTCCTGGTGAGGTTTCTTCGTTTTTATGCATTTTTGGCAGATAGTATATCACAGGAATTTTGGATACTTTATATTCAGGTAATTAGTTTCATGTTTGTTTAAAATGTTCTTTAAAAAGGAAGATAAGGGTGTGGGATTTGATGATAATGTTTCATATACATTGGTGTCATTTAACTGTCTGTAGGCTTCTTTTGTATACATATCACTGGATAAAATGACCACTGAATACTTTCATCATTTTGAAGTTGTTTAATAGCAGTTGTCTTAACCTTTTTCTTTTATTTATGTTAATTAACTGACCAGTTTGATCTGTTCCATCTCATCTAATTATGCCTTTCCATTCCTGCCTTATGTACTAACTTTTTACTATTCAAATTCCCCAATTGTTATCATCTTTCATATATTATGATGGTAATGGTGCATTTTATCATTTTATATATTCCCTCTCTTCCACTTATTGCCGTTTACTGGCCTCTTTAAGCTATTTCACTACAAATATGGCTGCCACGCCTGAATAATGTGGTAATACACATTCACCCCCCCCCAAGATGGCCGCCACCATAGCTTATTCTCTATTTTTACCTATCTTTTCTCTTTTACCGACTTGTAGTTTATATAACCAAAACTACAGACCCCATCAGGCATAGCGGCCAGGCATTGATGACGCGGTAATGATGCGCACCACATGTTTTGGTGATTAATGCCATAAATTAACCTCTATAACCCTAGTTTTTTTACAAATTTGTATTTACTTAGATTCCTCAATGTCATATCTTCACATATTGTGATGTTTTAAACTGTTATTTATATGCAATCATAAACTGTTCTTTTATTGGACAAATCAATTTTGGTGCCAATTTTAATCTGTCTCATATACCTATAAAAATTCTAACAAGCCAGGTTGTAAGTTTTTACTCCATTGATAAACCCATTATGGTGAAACGTGTTTGGATGTATGTAATTGGGTTTTTTTTTTGGTCACCTTTAATTGTGCCACTATCTTTTATTATTTTATAATTTTTCTATATTTTATTCTACTAACAACTTGGCACCTACTACTTTTACCGTCGTCTACTCCAAAGAATCCCAGGTGTGGATCATACCACCGATGCTGTTGTCATAGAGCAGTTAGCCTGCTCTACCTTTGTGAGTATGATTTGTATTATATCTTACTGACTATTTATATTTTATTGAGAGCACTATCATTGCCTTTTATTTTGTCGTTTTGGGTCCCCGACATCTTCATCACTGAAAACACTCACATCATATCCTTTAAGTGACTATTGTATGTGTGTATGCTCTACACACCAGAGGTGGCTTGAGCTCTACCAAATGTGAGTGTAACTCTATTATTTTATTGTTTTATCTATACCCAGTGAGACTTAATACACTATTAGCCTCTTCACCTTTTGTCGTCCTTCTCTGTATATATTGTGACAAAAGTACTCTTTTCCCTTGGTACCTTGTCCTGGGATTGGGGTGTTACACACAGTCTTTTCAGGCTTTAGAGACACTTCACACGCTGGATGAGGTAAACTGACTTGCTCTTTTATTGAGGTTCCAAAATAAATGCACAGTAAGGTATAAAGGTAACAAAAATATATCAAACAAAAGCCTTGCTCTTCTGAGCACTAACTAAACAAAATAATCAGCTAACTGGGTTGGATGGCTTGTCCATTAAACATAAACATAAACATAAACATAAACATAAACATAAACATAAACATAAACAGCCTTACTGCTTCAGGGTTTTCAGCTCTCTGTTTCCACTCATAGAAACCAAACACAATCTTGCACCAACCTTATTAGAGAGCAACGCTCTGCTATCTAACCTGTTGCTTTCCTTTCTGCACTCCCAGTGCTCCAAGCCAGCCTTGCCCTGACTGCTTTGCTTTCTGCACTCCCAGTGCTCCAAGCCAGCCTTGCCCTGACTGCTTTCCTATCTGCACTCCCAGTGCTCCAAGCCAGTCTTGCCCTGACTGCTTCCTTTCTGCACTCCAAGTGCCTAGTCTCCTTGACTATCTGGAGAGAACAGCCTCTCTCTCCTACCTGCTTCCTGGGAGGAAGCCAGCAATCCCTCTCCTTTACCTGCCTAGCAGGGAGGGGCTTATTACCACTGCAATAGCTCATTAACTGCACCTGAGCAGTGGGTTGGAGACGGTCCAAAAAACCCTGGCCTGGATCTATGTCTCCCCAGAAAACCACTAAACTGTGGAGTGGAGCATTGGCCCACCCTTCTCTCCAAATGCTCCACCCCAGGGGCCCATAACTAAACAGCATTTTGTGTTGCCTACAACACATCCTACACATACTCCCCCTGGGGTTAAAAGGCCTATCTGCCTTCACTTTATCACAATATGGACACCTGTGAAGTGCAAGAACTACCTCCTCCAGGCTCTAAAGACCCTATTTGATCTCAAGTACCCTATACAAGACCTTTTTTTAGCTATATGTATTCCATTGATTCCATTCCATTGATCTACTGTGGCGCAGCTCTACACTACCTTTGTGTTACCTGTCTTTGATTATTCTCAAGGGTTTTCTGAGGGACCTCTTGCTTGGGGTTGCTGCCTTATTCATAATGTTTTGCCTTGGTTTACTAGCACTGACTCCTAGTGTTGTTCCCTACATAATGTTGCTGAACCTAGACCTGACCAACCCCAGATCATAACCCCACAGTCTTGTACAGTAAGCAGTACATTACAGCCAGGATTTTTTTCCCACCACATTTCTTCCTCGAAGACGATGGTTCCCCACAATCCTGTTTTTAATAATGCGTTGGACAGTTCTTAACCCAATTTTAGTCGTTTCTGCAATCTCCTTAAATGTTTTCTCTGCTTGATGCATGCCAATGATTTGACCCTTCTCAAACAGACTAACATCTTTTCCACGACAACGGGATGTGTCTTTCGACATGGTTGTTTAAGAAATGAGAACCTACTCATTGCATCAGTTGTGGTTAAATAACTTGTTGTCCGCTGAAAGATGATCGCCCAAGCAGTAACTATCCAACAGGAGGCTCTTGCCTATTTGCTTAGTTAAATCCAGGTGACAACTTTTTTTTTTGCCCAGGCAGTGTATTTGCTTTAGACTTGAGAAAGGGAGGTTCTCCTGAAAGCTTATCATTAAAAAAATGTGTTAGTCCAATAAAAAAGGTATTACAAGAAATATGGCTACAATCTCTACTTGAACACTATATATATAGCTACATACATAGTTAGTTGCACAGATATACATACACATTAACACACAGATTTGTACACACATCTATATACATGCTGGCACATACACACACATAGATAGACATATATACACAATGGCACAACTGCCATTGCACACACTGACACAAAGATACACACACTGACACATACACACACTTTGACTCACAGATACACATACACACAGATACACACACACATTCACACTGACTGTACTTGAGGTAGTTCTGCCACTGCACTCAGTCACAAACCCTGGTCAAAGTTAGTGTTCATAATCAGAATTAAGTAGTTGTTGTGCCAGGTGATCCCTGATATCGGCTTTTCTTTCTGTGTTAAAAAGTTAAACAACAGTTTACTTCTAAAGGGCTAAATCCAGAGCTGGTCAACTCTGATAATCTCCTTCTGCTTGTATCAGGCAGTTGATGCTCTCAGCCTATTAGGAGTTCCTTGTTCACAAAACTGACTGTGATAAGGTGCACAGAATTGTCAGCGATGAGTTTCATATTTCACCTCAATTTTTGAGAGAGGGATGGGATATCCACCAAACAGTGTCTTAACAGCTGCAAAACAGAGAGGAAGAATCTAGGCCAAGAATTCTAATTGACTCTAAACTTTCCTCAGCTGCAAGGGGAGTATTAGCAACCTAAACAGACACTCTGGGCACCAATATTACTTTCATGCAATTGATAAGTTTTAGACTCATTAATATGCTGTATTTTTTGCATGCTCAAATCTTTAGCCACATTTTATCACTAGAAAAAGGCATCTTTTTTATTATTATTGCCATTTATATAGCCCCAACAGATTTCGTAACTATTTACAATATTATGAGAGGGGGGATTTAACTATCAATAGGACAATTACAAGAAAACTTACAGGAACAATAGGTTGAAGAGGACCCTGCTCAAACGAGCTTACAGTCTATAGGAGGTGGGGTATAAAACATATTAGAACAGGAAATATCAATCAAATAGGGTGGGAGAAGCAGAGTTGGAGGAGAGAGTAGAGTGCTGCCCTTTAGGAGAGAGAAAGAGAGAGAGACAGGTATGTAAGGTAGAGGTATCTCTGGTAGACCATAAGCTTTCCTAAAGAGATGGGTTTTGAGGCACTTCTTAAACGATTGAAGACTAGGGGAGAGTCTGCTGGGGGTAGGCAAGCTATTCCATTGGAAGGGAGCCGCCTGTGAGATGTCCTGCAAGCGCGAGTTGGCTGTACGGGTGCGAGCAGCGGACAGGAGAAGGCCACGGGCAGAGCAAAAGGAACTGAGAAGGGGCCTACCTATGGATTTGTGAAGAGATATAAGAGGGGCTAGAATTGTTCAGTGCTTTATATGTATGGGTTAGCACTTTGAATTGACTCCTATAGGAAACAGGAAGCCAATATAAGGACTGATAGAGGGATGAGGTGTGAGAGGACGGACTAGAGAGGAAAATCAGTCTGGCAGCGGCATTCATTACAGACTGTAGCGGGGCAATATGGCGTTTGGGAAGACCAATCAGGAGAGGGTTACAATAATCCATGGGAAATTACTAGAGCATTGACAAGCTCCTTGGTAGCATCTTTTGTAAGAAAGGGGCTGATGTCGGCTATGTTTTTAAGTTGGAATCTACAGGATTTGGCAACATGGTGGATGTAAGGCTCAAAGGTGAGGCCAGAATCAAGTATGACGCCAAGACAGCTTGTTTGCAAGGATATGTGGATACCACTGACCTGAAGGGAGAGTGAGAGAGGAGGATCAGTATTAGGAGGAGGAAAGACAATGAGTTCAGTTTTAGAGAGATTGAGTTTCAGAAAGTGGGTGGACATCCAGTCAGAGATCGAAGAAAGGCAAGCAGTGACTCCAACCGAGACAGGACAAGGGGAGGAGGTATCCTTGGAAAAGGAGACAATGAATGAGCATTGGGAGAGATAAGAGGAAAACCATGAGAGGACAGAGTCACAGAGACCGAGCGATTGAAGAGTTTGAAGAAGGAGAGCATGATCAACTATGTCAAAGGCAGCAGAGAGGTCAAGAAGAATTAGTATGGAGTTGTGGTATTTGGATTTAGCTGTGACTAGGTCGTTAGTAACTTTGATAAAAGCAGTCTCAGTAGAGTGGATAGGGCAGAAGCCAGACTGAAAAGGGTCAAGGAGACAGTTGGAATTGAGGAAGCGAGATAGACGGGTAAAGACAAGTCTTTCCAGAAGCTTTGAGGAAAAAAGGATCAGGGATATGGGACGATAGAGGGGGAGGACGGGTCAAGAGATTTTTTTTTAGGATAGGTACTACAGTGGCATGTTTAAGGTCAGCAGGGACAATGCCAGAAAAGAGAGAGCAGTTGAAGATGTGTGTTAAGGAAGGCACAAGACAGGATAGGATCAAGCGGGCAAGTGGTGGGGCAAGAGGAAAGGAGAAGCACAGCCACCTTTTGTTCAATAGCTGTGGAGAAAGTCTGAAGGGTAGGAAAGACATGATCTGTGTGTGGTTGAAAAAAAAACCCGGCGAGGTGGGGAGAATTCTTTCCTTAGCTGTTCAATCTTGTCGGTAAAGTAGCATGCAAAGCTATTGGCTGTATCTTTATCAAAAAGATATGCACAGAGCTCAACCCCTAACAATACTGAATGATATGAACATCAAAACAACCTGCATTAGAAGGAGAGGGCACCCAGGGAGGCATATAATAAGGATATCACTACCTGTTTATAGTTTATCTGACTGTCTGCAGCCGGTATGTGAATTAAAACAGTTCAGTCAGTGTTTTTGGGGCTTAGACTGTGTGCATTCCTTTGATAAGAAAGTCTTTCTAGCATGAGGGGTGTGGCTAAGGAAGAGGTTTATGGTGCAACGTTTTGTAAAACATTTATTATTTTATGCAAAAACTATAAAGATTTGAGCAAGCAAAAACTACAGCATATTAATGAGGTCAAAAAGAGTGAGGGAGGGAGTGAATTGTGACAGAGTAAGGGAGGTAGTGACTAGTTACAGAGGGAGGGGATGACAGTGAGGGAGAGGGTGACTTGTGAGGAGGGAGGGGATGACAGAGTGAGGGAGAGGGTGACTTGTGAGGGAGGGAGGGAGGGGATGACAGAGTGAGGGAGGGGGTGTCTAGTGACGGAGGGAGGAGGGGATGACTTGTGACAGAGTGAGGGAGGGGTGACTAGTGACAGAGTGAGGGAGGGGTAACTAGTTACTGAGTGAGGAGGGGGACTAGTGACAGGGTGAGGGGAGGGTGACTAGTGATAGTGTGAGGGATGACAGAGTGAGGGAGGGGGGTGACTAGTGACAGAGGGAGGGAGGGGGTCTAGTGACAGAGGGAGGGGGTGACTGGAGTGATGGAGGGAGGGGGTGACTGTTGACAGAGTGAGAGAGGGGATGACTTGTGACAGAGTGAGGGAGGGGGTGACTAGTGCCCGAGTGAGGGAGGGGTGACCAGTGACAGGGTGAGGGAGGGGTGACTAGTAACAGGGTGAGTGGGTGACAGAGTGAGGGAGGGGGTGACTGGTGACAGAGCAATGCCACAGAGGGAGGGGGTGACAGAGTGAGGGAGTGGGTGACTAGTGACAGAGTGAGGGGATGACAGAGCGAGGGAGGAGGTGACTGGGGACAGAGTGAGGGAGGGGGTGACTAGTGATAGAGTGAGGTAGGAGGTGAGCGAGGGGATGACAGAGTGAGAGAGGGGGTGACTAGTGACAGAGTGAGGGAGGGCGGGGATGACCGAGTGAGGGAGGGAGGGGGTGACAGAGTGAGGGAGGGAGGGGGTGACAGAGTGAGGGAGGCAGGGCCGGATTAACATAGGGGCTGATGGAGCTGCAGCTCCAGGCCCAGGCCCAGGCCAATTGATTTAAAAAAAAATAAATAAATAAATAAAATATATATATATATATATATATATAGAACAAATGAAAAAATTAGAGCACTCACTGGATTTAACGCAAATTTATCAAGACCGCGAGACGGTCGAAACGTTGATTGGTATGTTCACTATTTGAATACAAAGAATTTGCGTTAAATCCAGTGAGTGCTCTCATTTTTTCATTTGTTCTGTATATATACAGAGAAGCACTTTGGTGTTTTTTGTAATTATCATTACATAATTTTTTTGGGTAGAGTGCCAGAATTTGGATAAATATATATATATATATTTTTTTAAAACACTACTTTTAGGGTTGCCACCTGGCCGGTATTTATTTGAGGCTGTCTGGCCGGTGCCGATATTGCAGTAATACCTGCAATACAAATGCTGGTATTTTTCTCATTATAAACAGAGATTACTCTGCAATATCAGCAAGTACTGTGTGCGTGGAGAGAGGCAGGGATAGGAAGTTACAGCATATACCTGCATCTCTTTACTCACTGATCCGCGGGGGAGCAGCTACACAGCGCATAGAGTCCAGACAGTAGCTCCCAGCCTGCAGAGACAGTCTACAGCTCAGGGAAGTGAGGGATGGGTTAAAGGCTGCAGAGAGACATGGGAGCACTGAGACACTAGGGGACACTGTGAAACATGGGGACACAGGGAGACCTCTGGGGATGCTGAGACACAGGGACACAGTCACACATGGGGACACTGAGACACTACTAGGGGACACTGAGACACTAGGGGACGCTGGTAGACATGGGGACACAGGGAGACCTCTGGGGATGCTGAAACACTTGGGGACACTTAGAGACACAGTCACACATGGGTACACTGAGACATGGGGACACAGTCACACTTGGGGACACTGAGATATGGGGAAACAGACACACTTGGGGACACTGAGACATGGGGAAACAGACACACATGGGGACACTGAGACACTAAGGACACAATGTTCCCAAGTGTCTCAGTGTCGCCATGTCTCCTAGCCATTGTCCCTGGTGTCTCTCTATTAGTATTTCTATATGGCTGCATATCAGGGCAAACTACTTTAGGTCACCCACATTGAACAAAGCACTTATTGTCCTGTAACCTAAAATTAAAGCATGTATAAGTAACAATCACTTTGATGTTTTGATTCAAACTAAGGAGTTTCTATTATTTGAGAAGATGCTGCCATATAATGTACCATTGGCAGTCTTGAAAACATATCCATGAGTGAGTGCATAATGCTGAAGTCGAGCCATTGTCATGCTAGAGATATCCTTCCGAGGGTGTAAAATGGACACGAGTGGTTTATGATTCGTGATCAGAATAAAAGTTCTGCCATAAATACAAAGGCGGAATTTCCCAGCCCAAATTATTGCTAGAGCTTCTTGATCAATCTAGAGATAATTTTCTTAGTTGGAGTTAAAGATCTAGACGCAATAGACACAAAGCATTCAGAACCATCAGGCAAGGCATCACAGACTAGTACCGAAGGTCATAGTAGACAAGGAACCTTTATTCCAAAATAAGTGGTTTGGAGAATTCAAATGCCTTTGCGTTTGCATGTGGAGACCTGTGTTGTCCACTATATGCCAGAATACAACTTACTCACACTTCTGTATGCTTACTTTAAATCCAAACTGCTTAAAGCATTATAAAACAGTTTCAACACTTTTTTTATTTATTTATAAAATATTTTACCAGGAAAGATACATTGAGATTTCTTTCGTTTTCAAGTTAGTCCTGGGTCCACAAAACATTGCATTGATACAATAAGGTACAATTAAATACAAAAACAATATTAAAGGACCAATATAGTGCCAGGAAAACTTACTCTTTTTCCTGGCACTATAGTGCCCTGAGGGTGCCCCCACCCTCAGGGTCCCCCTCCCGCCGGGCTCTGGGGAGAGGAAAGGGGTTAAAACTTACCTTTCTCCAGCGCCGGGCGGGGAGCTCTCCGCCTCCGATCATCCTCCTCTCCTCCCTTTCGGCTGAATGCACACTCCCGGCAAGAGCTGCGCGCGCATTCAGCCAGGCTCATAGGAAAGCGTTTACAATGTTTTCCTATGGACGCTTGCGTGTTCTCACTGTGATTTTCACAGTGAGAATCACGCAAGCGCCTCTAGCGGCTGTCAGTGAGACAGCCACTAGAGGATTTGAGGGCTGGATTAACCCATTTATAAACATAGCAGTTTCTCTGAAACTGCTATGTTTGTAAAAAAATGGGTTAACCCTAGCTGGACCTGGCACCCAGACCACTTCATTAAGCTGAAGTGGTCTGGATGCTTAGAGTGGTCCTTTAATACACAATATATACAAACTTTAACATAGAACAGGTAGGAAATATATAATCAACCATGACACGTGCATTCTGTTTTGAGGTATGTAGAGAGGGATCCCTTAAAGGACTTTAGGCTTGGGGGAGATTTGCAAGTGGTCAAGAGGTTGTTCCATAATTGCGGTGCACTGTAGGAAAAGGAGGATCGGGCTGCTTTCTTTTTGTATTGAGGTAGAATAAATAAAGTGTTGGTACTGGATCGGAGGTCATAGGAGGTGGAAACAGCCGGGGAGAGCATTCTGCTCAGGTAGGGCAGGAGCTTAAAGGACCAATATAGTGCCAGGAAAACATACTAGTTTTCCTGGCACTATAGTGCCCTGAGGGTGCCGCCACCCTCAGGGTCCCATTCCCGTGGCGCTGAAGGGGGAGGAAGGGGTTAATCCCTTACCTTTTTTCCAGCGTCGGGCTCCCTCAGCACTGGGACTCTCCTCCCTCTTCTTCCGTCATCGGCTGAGTGCGCATGCGTGGCAAGAGCCGCGCACGCATTCAGCCAGTCTCATAGGAAAGCATTCTCAATGCTTTCCTATGGACGCTGGCGTCTTCTCACTGTGAAAATCACAGTGAGAAGCGCAGAAGCGCCTCTAGCAGCTGTCAATGAGACAGCCACTAGAGGCTGGATTAACCCATAGGTAAACATAGCAGTTTCTATGAAATTGCTATGTTTACTGCAAAAAGGGTTAAACCTAGCTGGACCTGGCACCCAGACCACTTCATTAAGCTGAAGTGGTCTGGGTGCCTATAGTGGTCCTTTAACAGAAAAGCTCTTAAACACAAGACTGAAAGATGAAGGGTGCGTCTGGATTCCAGTGACAACCAGTTTAGTTATTTTAGCATGTCACAATGGTGGGTCCTGTAATTACATTGTAGCACAATTCGGCAGAACTAATTATACAATGTGTTGAGTTTATTAAGATGGGTTTGTGGTGCAGGTGCATATACTACATCCCCATAATCAATGATTGGCATCAGCATTTGCTGTACAATCTTTTCCTTTACTGTAGGGCTTAGACAGGATTTGTTTCTGTACATGGCACCTAGTTTTGTATAAAGTTTAGATGCAAGTTTTTCTATGTGGAGGCCAAAAGTCAGTGTACTATTTGATTTTGTTTTGATAGGTAGGAATTGTGTAATTTAGGTACTGTTCCAAAGATCATTGTGACAGTTTTGTCAGTGTTTAGGAAGAGTTTGTTTTTTGCGATCCACTTTTCTACCTCTGTGAACTGGCCTTGGAGCATAGCCTCAAGCTGCGGTAGATCGGATTTGCTTGCATAGATTTCTGTATCGTCTGCGTACATGTGTACATTTGAGAATTTGCAGACATTGGGCATATCATTTATAAATAATGTGAATAGTAGGGGGCCGAGAATGGAACCTTGGGGAAAACCACACGTGACTGGGACAGGGAGGGAGTTGCTGTCAGAAATGGACACATATTGTGAGCGATCCGATACATATGATCGAAACCAGGTTAGCGGCCAATCACCAATACCCGAGTGGGGCCTGATCCACATTTGTAGTTTCAGGATGCGTGACATTTATTAGCTTGGCAATCAGGGTAGTGGAGCATCCGACAAAATAATTGTTGAAGGCATTTGCTACATCTAAGGGAAGTTGCAGGGTTTGGTTATCCACTTTCACAGTGTAGGGTTGGGAGTGGATTGAGGGAGTTTGTAGTTTATTTATGACTTTACAAAAGTTTCTAGGGTTTGATGGGTTATTGTTCAGATTTTCAAAGAAATATTGGGCCTTGGTCAATTCTGTTTGTTTTGTGCATATATTTTGCCATTGTCTATATGCACAGTGATCATTTGTAGAGCCAGTACGCTTGAAGTTTGACCACAATGAATCACGAAACTGGTACACTTGGATGAGGTCAGCTGTGATCCAATTAGTATGTGTCCCTTTTACTCTCACCTTACTTGCTTTATGAGCATCATTTTCACAGGTGACAAGCATGGCATCTAACATGTAATGTGTGTGTTATTCCTGGCAATACCTCATCCATTAAAAATTAAGTACGTAGGGGAAACCAATTCCTGTACAGCATGTACACAAAGTTTGGGTGCAAGGGTCTAACAGTAATCATATATTCAAGAAAATACCCGCACTCTTATTTTCAATAAAAACTAATTTTATTTCATGATCAATAGTAAAACATAATACAAATAAATCTATATACACCCATAGTGAGGTCCCGAACGGTGCGCCACGGACGGCGAACATATGCGCTGTTCGGTCCGCCCCCTATTCGTCATCATTGAGTAAACTTTGACCCTGTACCTCACAGTCAGCAGACACATTCCAGCCAATCAGCAGCAGACCCTCCCTCCCAGACCCTCCCACCTCCCGGACAGCATCCATTGTGAAGCTGCATTCTTAGTGAGCTGTCCAGGAGGTGGGAGGGTCTGGGAGGGAGGGTCTGCTGCTGATTGGCTGGAATGTGTCTGCTGACTGTGAGGTACAGGGTTAAAGTTTACTCAATGATGACGAATAGGGGGCGGACCGAACAGCGCATATGTTCGCCGTCCGTGGCGAACCGTTCGGGACATCACTATACACCCATAAAGAAATAATTAACAGTTGATACTCAATCCATAAAAAAATACCTAAAATTTTCATAGAAACGTAGGTTTATTTTAAAAAGTACAGTATATAAAAAAAAAAAGAGCATCCCCCTCTACAAACCACAGCTCTCCCCTCTACTAAATCCCAGTCCCCCCCCCTCTACTTAACCACAGCTCCCCCCTCTACCACCCTGTGCCAAATCTGATCCTCCTGCTACTTCTTGAAACCCTGTGAAGGTGGAGCACGTCGATGTCACGTGGCGTTGCGTGCCTCCATGCACCTCCAGGTACTCCACTGTCCAGTCGCAGCCAATGTAACACTGACCAGCACACACACTCACAGACAGACACACATACTCACTGACAGACACACACACCCACACTGACAGACACATTTAACCCCTTAAGGACCAAACTTCTGGAATAAAAGGGAATCATGACATGTCACGTGTCCTTAAGGGGTTAAACATTCTTGCACTCACATTATTTAATTTATTGTTCCCTACCTTTGGGAGCTGGTGTGGGGATCTCCTCCCTGCTCCCTCGTGCGGTTTAGTGATCCCGGAATATGATGCCATATTCCGGCGTCCGGCTTAACTACAGACGGCGCGCCCGAGGGAGCAAGAACACTGAGCTCCCTCGCTGGCCCTCCTCCCCGGCCGGGTAAGTGTTAGCAGAGTAGGCACCTGCAATGTGGGGAAAGCAGGTGCCTACTCTGCTATAACACCAGCATGTACTCGCGGCTCGCTGGGCCACAAAGATGAGTTTGACATGATTGCCATAGGTCGTATCGAATGATGTTGTCTGTTGCTATAGCAACAGTACACCATCTCCATTTTTTCCGGCTCCTGTTTACTTTGGTTACCAGGGTTACTCATGTGCTTTCAATTTCCGTGGGAGGTGTGGGTAATTATTATGGGAGGTGTCATGGAACGCATCCAAAATGGGGCTGGAACGCAATCGGCAAGCACTAGAAATATACAGTTTCTGGATATTGTGGGCAGCTATGCAGAACGCAGAGGATGTGGTAAGCATCTGAAACAGAGGATCATCATCCAATGAGGTAAAAAAGATGGATCCACACCCTCTGAAGCACCAGGAACTTGTCCTATTTAAGGAGAATAGGGAGGGTGGTTTAGTAAACTGCTTTGCACCTAGGATGTTGTTTGTATTTTATTTATTTTTTAAATTGTCCCTGAGGAAGTCCACATTTGTGGAGGAAACGCGTTGAACTATTTTAAAATTATTTTATTGGGGGCAGGGCCTGACCACCATGCTGGTCGCATGTCACTGAGGCTCCTGCTAAATTTTACCTAAAAAGGCAGAAATCATGGACTTACTGCTGCTAATCTAACAGAGTAGTCCCCTAAAGATAACAGGAGACGGTTGGCACCACCATAGACTACATCAGGGGAGATCGGGTGTTTTGGGGCCTTTGTGGTACAAAACTTTGGTGCCTGCGGCCTACTCGGGAGCGGGGCAGAGGGCCACTGCCCTGCTCGCAAGCCTAGCTGCCACAGTACAACACTGTGACACACCTCGTAGGCCCCAGTCCCCTCCCCCACCCTCACGGAGGGAACCGGGCATATGTGCTCTGCCAACATCGGGTGAGACCACCCACACTGCTCGCAGGAAGCATTGTAATTAGAGGCACCTCACCATGACCCCTGGAACTATTGCTGGAGCTCTTCCAACACTCGACGGAGTAGCCCTGCATTGTCCAGCCTCCGAACCCAGAGCTTGGGCCTGGTCTCCACGACAGCCTTTCTGGGCCTTGAGCCCCTAGAGGACAATCCTCAAACCGCAGCCCTACACCTGGATGGAACACACTTGCCAGGAATCCCGTTGCCGGCCATACATGGTACCGGAACCGAGGGCACAAGTGGTCGGCTCATACAGAACCCGGGACTGGCAGAGTGGCACTTACTAGACTCAAGCTCTAATCGGGACCCAACTCATGCCAAAACCAGGCCGGAGGCAGGAAAACCACAAGCTAGGGAGACCCAACAGGCATGACGGCATACCACAAGCAGCAGCTCATTTGAGCTGGGCCCGGGGGGCAGCGTGACTCTCCCAGAGAGACTCCAGTGGTGTTTACTACTCTGCTTTTTCGTCAAAAGAGTGTGTCCCCATGCAGAGGTTGGAGAGACTAAAGGTCAATGCTGCACACTGTGCAGCACTGCCCTCAAGAAGCACCACTAGTAGCCATTTGAGGAGTGGCCACTGGAGGTGTTCCTAGGCTGTAATGTAAACACTGCTTTAAAAAAAAAAATATATATATATATATATATATATATATATATATTACAAAGTGTTTACTGCAAAATGTTTGCAGGAACTTACTATTCTCATCAAAACAAATGCATTAAACTGTATTTGTTCTGTGGACTATCGTATCCCTTTACCACTATAGCTGAAAACATTGCAGTTTTAGAGAATGTGTGGCTGTCAAGGAGTGTGTGTGTTTGTCTGTCAGAGTGTGTGTTTGTCTGTGTTAAGGTTTGTGTATGTGTCACTGTGTGCATCTAAGTGTGTGTGTATGTGCCAGTATGTATCAGTGTGTTTGTATGTGCCTGTGTGTGTGTATCTGAGTGCCAGATACATATACACGCTGACTCAGAGATACACTTACTGGTGCATACAAACACAGATATACACACCGATGTTAATACACTATGTCAAAGGGTTCCAAGGGAAAAATTAATTGGGAACCCCTGCAGTAAAGTAATACTTGCTGATATTATTCTTGTTTTTATTGCATTGATCTCCATGCTGTGCTTTACCTCCCTGGTTGAGCCTCTGTGACCTTAACCAATCCGCGACTTCCCTATGGGCACGGCACGCGGTGCAAAATCAAAGGCTCTCAGTGAGTGGTTTTGAGACATAATAACAGATCACCGGAAGTGGCGGTCTTCCTGATAGCCAATAGAGGCATGTTAACCCTGCAGTAAAAACAAAAACAAACAAAAAAAACACAGCAAAAAAGAAATGGGCATGGCACCCAGACCTCTTAACTTAGATGGGTTGGTCTGGGGTACCAAAAGATTCCCTTTTTGGCTACAGCAAGAGAGGGGAGTTGTAACTCAGCACCACCATCCATGATAAAATTCCAAGCAGATGCTAAGAATCAAAATGAGAGTTACACACAACCTGCCAGAGGTCAGTGAAGAAGCTGGACGTTCTACCATCCTGAACCAAGTCCAGACTTGCCAGAAGTCAACATGGCGGCGGAGGCTTCCAGTCTCCACTTCTTCCTTATTGTCTATGTTTAGCCCTTAGTAGAGGTGTGTCCTAGCTGGTGTCTCATTGGAGGAGGAGGGGGGTAATCCTGCTATAGCCGCTGTTACCCGAGACCCATAGCATAACCTGCTGTCGCTCCTCTGGCTGCTTTAGCTGTGACCACCTCGCCCCTGCCAGCGAGCAACATGCCGAACATCAAGATCTTCAGCGGCAGCTCCCATCAGGACTTATCGCAGAAGATATCCGACAGGCTGGGGCTGGAGATGGGCCGTGTGGTAACGAAGAAATTCAGCAACCAGGAGACCTGGTGAGTAAAAGCACGGCGCATTCAACAACGCGACCGCCTCTGCCTGCGCTACAGGCGGTCATTTAGCGGCCACTTGTAGTTGCGGGCTTGATGGCGCAGCGGTACCTCTCGCGGATGAAAAGGGAAGAGGAGAGAGAGCGGGTAGCTAGAAGCTGGACGCGCACGTGTTGCCGGGAATTGTAGTTCGGGAAACGGCTTGCCGCCTGTGCGTGCAACGTCGGAAAAACTACAAGTCCCTGTGTGCACTTTTGCAAGTAGCTTTCATGTACTGAGAAACACGTGGGAGAGGGTGATTTAACAGTCTTGGTGGGTGGGGGGAAGGTTAGTCAGGAGTTGTGGATTCTCTCCAACCTGAGCTTTGTATTTCATCCAAATCCATGTACTACTAGATTAACAAATTGTTGTTAAAGACAGGGGCAGTTTGATTATAGGTCAAAAACTACCTACTAAGCCCTCAGTGAATACTTTTCTAACAACTTACTTTTACCCTTTGTGTCACTTTACCCCACTCCCTCTAGCATGTAAGCTCATTGAGCAGGGCCCTCCACCCCTCTGTTCCTGTACGTCAAGTTGTCTGGTTACAATTACATATCTGTTAGTCCACCCATTGTACAGCGCTACGGAATCTGATGGCGCTATATAAATAATAAAATAATGTCTGTTGAACCATGATTTGCCTCTTTAAGTATTATGTCGTGCTCAGGATAGCAGTGATTTCATTTCACATCATATGTTTGTATATAGAACACAATTTAATACAAATAAAATATAAAAAAAAAGTATAAAAAATTATTTTCCAAATTCTGCACGGAATTTACTGCAATAATATAAACACATTTGTGTTCAGTGATGTCTCACAAGTAAAACCGTACCCCCTATGTATATGTTTCGTGGTGTTTTGGAAAGTTGCAGATTCAAATAAAGAGCCTGCTCATTTCAGTTTTAACACATTGAAGTTTGCTAGGTCTATGTTGTCTTTGAGACGCTGTGCAGCCCATGAATGGAAATTACCCCCATCATGGCATACCATTTGTAAGAGTAGAAAACCCAGGATATTTAAAATGGGCTATGGCCAGTCCTTTTTTTTTTTTTTAAGTAGTAGCCATTTAGTCGCAAACCAAAGTTAGTGCTAATATTTGTTTTCTTAATTTTTCACAAAAACGTTACCATTTTACCAATGATATCCCCATTATATGTTTTACTGCTCTAAAACACTCCTATTTAAGTTCATCAATGTCTCACAAGTAGAACGGTACCTCTCGTGTAGGGATTTTGTACAGGTCAGATATAGGGCTTGCAAATTAATTTTTCTGGACTTGCTGCCTGGGTTGTCAGGCTGGTCCCTCAATATATAATTAATACAATCACATGATTATTTAAAAAATCTTACTTAAATATACACGTGGAATTAATAAATATATATGTATATACATTATTATTTATTTTTAAAATAATTTTAACTTGGGGGACTGCCAGACAACCAGTGTAAAGTGTGATTATGATGTCATTGCGCTCACATGGCCCGGAAGGGACAAGTTTGCCTTAACAGCGTAAAAGCACTGCTTTTGCTGGGTGGCTTAGTAAGGGGTTAATTGAGACATCAGAAGGAAATACATTTTATCCAGCTAGATTCACTTGCTATCGTGCAAATGAGTGATAATTTGAGTACTATTTGCCTGTTGGATTGAATGTTATAATATCCCCAACCTGCTTCCAGTGGGCAAATAGTTTGGGTTTTTAAAATACGGTCGTGGATTTTAAACATTTAGCCCGAATTTCGGCATCCATCACTGTTCGAAATCTGGACCGTATTGCAAAATCCAGACTTTGTTAAATTTCATGAATTATGTCTGTATTTTGCAGTCTCAGAGGCCCCATTTGGTATTGAACTATTTTGACTTTAGTAAGTTACACACACATCTATTTTCAATGTTGGATTGCAGTCCAAATGCCCCTATGTGCAACTAGATGTATTATCCTGTTAGTAGTAGTAGTAGTAGTAGTAGTAGTAAGGGGGATTTTTTTATTTATTTTTTTAGCCCCTCAGCCTTTTATGCATCTGTTTTGGCCGTTGAGCCAAAAGAAGGCATAAATCACAATTTGAAATTATAAAGCAACTTCCAATTATGTCTATAATCTTCTAGACTCCAAAAATAGAATTCCTTTTTAATTCTATAAAGTTGTTTTTATAGAAGCAAATACATTTTTATTTTTTTTCATATTTAAATACTAGAAATAATGACCTGATACAGTTATGTCTCTAATTTTCAACTATGTCCTGGTCATCTTTATCTCTTTAATATTTTCAGCACTGGGAGTGTTCGATTTACATGTATGATGTGACTAATTGGCTTTTGTGGTTGCAGTGTGGAAATTGGCGAGAGTGTACGTGGAGAAGATGTTTACATAGTGCAGAGCGGTTGTGGAGAGATAAATGACAACTTAATGGAACTTCTCATCATGATCAATGCTTGCAAGATAGCTTCAGCTTGCCGTGTCACAGCTGTAATTCCATGTTTTCCATATGCTCGGCAGGACAAAAAAGACAAGGTGAAAGCTTTTTAAAAAGAAAATTCCTGTCACATTTGTACTAATAGTTTATAGTGAGACTATTATCTTTTGTTGTATTGCAATATGTTTGTCTTGTTCATCTATTGTACAATGCTGCAGCATATGTTGATGCTAAATAAGTCATTGTAATTGATTATTAATAAAGTGAGATTTGTATTGGATTTCAAATTTAAGGCCAAAATGGCTCAAGTGGAAGCATAGTTCAGCTCTTCTGACTTTAAACTAGAGATTATCAACCATTCTCACTCTAGTGAATACTCTTATACAATTTGTATTTGCTCAATCTAAAGTAATAACTTGCAAGAGGCCCTAAAAACCTCTCATTTACTTAAAAGCCAGGCAGGAATTTTAAGAAGATTAGGTTATTGGCTAAGGGAAAAGTTTTCTCTAGGTCTAAAATCCTATGCATACAAATCAGCCTTGTTAAAGGATCACTATAGGGTCAGGAACACAAACATGTATTCCTGACCGTATAGTGTTAAAACCACCATCTAGCCCCCCTGGGCATATCATGCCTCCATAAATATAGCAAAATCTTACTGTATTCAAGCCTGAAGCTGTAATTCTGCATGCTGTTTGCCTCAGAAAAACAAACAGTCTGCTGACCTCCTCAGAAGTGGTAGTCTGATCCAATCACAATGCTTCCCCATAGGATTGGCTGAGACTGACAGATGCAGATCAGGGGCATGATTCAAGCACAGCCCTGGCCAATCAGCATTTTCTTATAGAGATGAATTGAATCAATGAATCTCTATGAGGAAAGTTCAGTGTCTGCATGCAGAGGGTGGAGATACTGAATGTTTGGATGCATTTTAGGCAGTCATGACCCAGGAAGGATCTCTAACAGCCATCTGAGGAGTGGCCAGTGAAGTTATCACTAGGCTGTAATGTAAACACTGCATTTTCTCTGAAAAGACAGTGTTTACAGCAAAAAGCCTGAAGGTAATGATTCTATTCACCAGAACAAATTCAATAAGCTGTAGTTGTTCTAGTGACTATAGTATCCCTTTTAAGTATTTTTCCACAACACCACTGGTAAGCCAGAGAACATTTTCCCTAACATTCTAGCTGATGCAACATGAAAATCTCACCACACACCAGATGAGACGTTTTCCACATTTCTGTTTTACCTGAATAGAAAATAAAATACATATCAACGAGTAGACTTTTTTTTTAAATATATATATATATATATAAAATTTTTTAATTACATGTAGTAGTTGCCAAGAGACCAAGACCCAATCCCTGCAGTCTGACCAATGTAACAAAATTGTCTGAAATGGTTCCTGTTTCTACCAGGGGTTGCAGGGATGGAGCGCAATACGCACAGAGGAAGTTACGAACTTTCTCAAGTACAGATCTGGACTCTGCCCAACTGCTACAGGCATTAGTTGATTGGACAATGCTCATGGGGCCACCTGTTCCGGGAAACGAACTGAATCTGCTTTGAGTTTGTCTATCACTGTCACTTTGAGTCCAGAATACCTAGTGTTTGGTGGAGTTCTCCTCCTATGTACTATTTTGTGATGTCAGTATGTCTCTGTGACGATCTGAACCTCGTCACTGGCCAGCAGGCTCCTCCAAGAACCAGCCTCTTGCCCTGTGACTATGGCCTCTGCAATAGGCCTGGCTGAAATACTTTAAAAAGGCTCTGTTCATGTTAAGTATGTACTTTTGGACTCCAGACAGAGAGACCGACCATTAGCACTAATTCTCTAGAACTGTTTTGGGCATGGGACCATGTGCACGGTCGGTCAAAAAAACGACTTCCAGAAAAATCCTGAAACCTAAACTGATCTGGGTGATTTTTGGATATGTTGGTCACACAGATCAGGGCTATGTGTTTTTTTTTTTTGTTTTTTTTTTTCTGTGCTTGGAGATAATTGGATTAGAATTAGTACAGTTGTTTTAGACCAAACCAAGTGTTTGTTTGAGTAGTTGCCCCTGTCCAGATTTCAAAGTATAAATGCGTGCACGCCGAAGAAATCACACTGACAACAGAATCGGTTAAATGACAGCTTCGAGGAATGTTTACTTAGGGGGCGGCAAGCCCCTTATAAAGGCAAAAATACATCATATGCTAAATATGGGAGGACATGAAATGTACATTTTAATTGGTATTTGTTTAAGTGTTTTATCTTGATGGAATTCCTACAGGGTGTGAGGTCATCAGCATCCTGGGTGCAGCTCCGGATGGAGACGCCATCTTGTTACATGAAATTCTTTTGTCGATGGGAGCGGGTGCTCTAGTGGCCATTTTGAGTAGTGAATGAACACTGGTACATATAGTAAATAGACATTTTACTAACATTAATTTCTATCCATCACACATTTGCTGATCCAATTTATCTCCTAGGCAGGGAGGAGGGATTGTATTGTTTGTTATGGGAGTGTCGGGCATTTAATCACTGTTCTTATTGGTCTGTGTCTTTGTGTTGGAGTCCCAAACAAGGTCCATGTGGGCATACCACTTGCATGGGGATTGTCATAAAAGGCCAAGTGTGGCTCCCATTAAAGAGAGCTTTGTTTACCCCTTCATGAAGTCTTGGCTCATGTTTGGGGGATTGGAGAACTATATTCACTTTTAGGATTGCTATATCACAATACTCCCTGAGTATAATCACTAAGCTCTTGTAAAATCTGTTTCTGCTACACTCTTTGAATTAGGAGAGGTCTACCCACTGGAAGCTGGATCCTGGTCTTGGGTCCAGGGTGGGTGGAGGACAGAGAGATCCTACGGAGTCTACGGTGGTTATGGTGTTCCAGTAAAGTGCACATGGTGCTCGCAAGTACTAGGAAGCAGCGTTTGAAGGCGGTACCCGGTTGGGGTGCCAGGCAGTCCGTCACAGTCTAGATGTTTTATTTCTTTTTGTTTCTCGCTGACTCACATGCATAATCTCTATTACGAAGTCTCATCTTACTTTCAGTTACTTGTTGATGTGTTCTCACATGTGCTTAAGTCTGTTTTACTTATGGTACGAAAAAAACAAACGTTGCAATAATCTTGACATGTACTGATCTCATCTCATGATAACCTTTTTATTGCAGTTGTATCCTTACTTGCAAGTTGTACTTTGAACAACAAAATAAAGAATGGGGAAAAAAGTTCAGGAAGTAAAAGGGGAATTTGCATCCACAAATATACATTCAAGCAATGCAGTTATTTCTAATATCAATTCTGATATCAAAAAATGCATTTCCAAGGTAAAACAGTAACAAGTGGCCTGTGACAGCTATCTACTGACAGCTTCCTAGCTGATTCACTGTGATCGATGCTGCGCAGCTGGCAATCAACTTGAGGACAGGCCTTCATCCCAGAAACACTGCGGCTATATGTGATCGCTTAGCCGTGTCTTCTGAGCAGAGTTAAAGGACTGTATTCATCCCTCACTAAAAATGGCCCCATCAGACAGAGAGGAGACCCTGTCACTTACTGATCACTCTGTTTTCTGGTGTGAGCAGGGATTTAACCCTACCAAAACTGCAGTACGCCTTAACAGTAATAAAGCCCACTATAGTTAGGACACAATTGCACATCAAAGTGTTAATCAGATGGATATTCTTTTATATATTATTGACCAAAAATAATACTTTTCGAGTGTGTGCTTCACATGGAATAGGAGTTTAGTTAACTAATCACTATTTCAAGAGGCATTCATTTTGAATGTCAAAATATTTTTTTTTTTAAATTTTTTTTTTTTTTATTTACTATTAGTCACATTTTACAATCCATTCCATTTATAGAATTTCAAGGATTGGTGCTGTTTAATTCCACTAGGTCTTTTTCTACCCCCCCCAAAAAAATAAAAAAATAAGGATTGCTTTTCACCTCCATCTGATTAAAATAAGAGACCTGTACATTTGTGAATTTAGTGTGCATAGCAAAAGTTGGTCTGCATCTCTGTTCTTCCAAATTTGTGTTGTAATACAAATCCGTGAATCCCTTACATGGAGTAGTGAGTACATGAATGGTGAAAGTATCGCGTGAATCCTCATACCAAGAGATGTTCGAATTTAGAACTCCTGGCAATTCTCACTTTAGTGAATAATCCCTATTGTTTTTTCTTAGAATACTAAAACACTTTAGCTTACATAAGTGCTTTATGTGTGTGCTCTTCCTCTTTTTTAATTTACAATCAATTCAATAGATAATGGCACTTTTATAAATTACCCTAGTAACACCCCCTTGCCTGTCAATCAGGCAACTGTTTCTGTGTGGTGTGTTTTTTGTTTTTTCGTCTGCTTCTTATTGAGTAAATTCAGATGTCTTTAAATGGACAGCCGCATAAGGTCTGGCCTGATTTAGAAGGGGAGAGCTTGCAAAGGCTGCAGACAAAAGATCTGCAGCTTTTTGTGAGCCGTGCTTAGATCTACCCCCAATCAAAAAAGTGCATGTTTGAGTTATATCTACTTGTTTATTTTATAAAGGGTTATTGAGTGAGTCTTTTAATTTATAGTCGAATGAATGGGGGCTTAGATAATAGTGAAACATGCGTCATAGCTAGAATTGCTGCAAAAGCTAGTTATAGTAGATTATTTATACATTGAGGAAAAGGAAACCAAAAATAAGTTGAGAACTTTTTGTACAATTTTACAGGTTAGTGAATAGTGGCAAGTAGTCATCCTCATGGTCGCACAGGTGACTTGGGTGGGTCGGGAGCGCAGCGGAGTTAACTTTTTTTTTCTATCCTCTCTCCTCTATTCTCTCCCTATCTCAGTCTAATATACAAATTATTTGTGCTCCATATAATGGTTTTACACACCCATTGACATTATATGCTTTTGTTAATACTCTATTCGTTGCTAATGACCAACACTAATCTCTGAATTCCTCTTGATTACTTTTATGTTGTAACCTTTACAAAACAGTTAAATAAAATACAGCTCTACAAAAAACGTCAACAATGCTCATCCATATGATAAATACAGCTGTGCCCATAGTTTTCGTTTTGTAGCCAGGCCTTTTACAAGCTGGTGTTCTAGTGGATTGTTTTGTTTTCTATATAGAGTGGTTCACATTCATTCATTATCCATTTTCATGGTTTCTGTATCATTAGTTGTTGTTTTTCTTCATTCCAGTCTCGAGCTCCAATCTCTGCTAAGCTTGTTGCTAACATGCTGTCCGTGGCAGGCGCTGACCACATCATTACAATGGACCTTCACGCATCCCAGATACAGGTTAAATGCTCTATTTAGTACATTTTACTTAGTTGGCATTGAAGCACTTCAGTTTCAATCATGGGAGGGAAGGAATTTAAGAAAGATTGTTGATGATGTGCAATTATACTTTCTTACAAATTTTTCGTGTAACTTCTAGGGTTTCTTCGATATTCCTGTGGATAATCTGTATGCAGAACCAGCTGTCTTAAAATGGATTCGAGAGAATATCCCAGAATGGAAAACATGTACAATAGTGTCACCAGATGCTGGAGGAGCAAAAAGGTGAGCTTGTCAAACTATGTAGCCTTCTACAAGTAGGGTTTGTAGGGTAAAATGCAAAACAAACAGATCCAAATGGCACGGTCACAAGATGATGGCAAGATTACAATGGTTTGGTTGCCTCTTCCATTGTCCTCTGTACAAGAAATACCAAAAGGGAGTGCCTTTTCTTACCTCCATGGTCCCTTTTTAAGACATGTTAGTTTACCTTTTTTGTATCATATCTTGTTGTGCAAAAAACAAAGACCATATTGACTGTATTCAATGGGGAAAAAAGTCCACATAACTCCACCAGTCACAAAGTACTAATTAAAGAGACCCTATAGTCACCAGAACCAGTACAGCTTAATGTAGTGGTTCTGGTGTCTACAGCATGTCCCTGCAGCTGAGCAATGAAAATTCTGCCTTTTCAGAGAAAAAGCCGTGTTTACATTGATGCCTAGTGGCAGTCACTCAGACCGCTAAGAGAGGTGCTTCTTATGTACGTTCTGCATTGAAACACTGATATATTTATATTGTTGGACAACAACCCCCCCCGTCCCTTCCACCCGAAGTAAGAAGTTATTTTACGTATCTTTTCTCCGTCACCCTGCTGGTCTCACCTCTATGGATGATTTTAGCCAATCCAATGCTTTCTCTTAGGAAATCAGTATCTTTTCATAGGGATGTGTTGAATCAAAGCATCTCTATGAGAAGTGTTCAGTGTGTATCTATATATTTATATCTATATCTATCTTGAGGAAGACCCGCTGGGGTTCAAATATCGATCGGGACAAAATGTATGCAATAATTTGAATAAACCACATTGAACAGACCTGGAGAGAGAGAGAGAGAGAGAGAGAGTGTGTGTGTGTGTGTGTGTGTGTGTGTGTGTGTGTATATATGTATGTATATATAATATATATATATTAATATATATATATTCTCTCTATCTGCACACCAGTCAAACCATAAGACTTGCTTTTCCGACAGAAATCACAAATTTGCAGTGATGTTACTACTGCAAAGGATTCTGGGTGGGCATATGCAAATTAGTTTAACAAATAATTAAATTTTTGTCTCCTTCCATTTTAAACACGGATTCCTTTAAAGTCTGTGTTTGCTGTATACAACAGCTTTGAAACACAACGTAGGAAAAGATGCAAAGCCAGTGAACCACTCATTGACAGCTGTTTCATTGTTAATGCAAATCATCAGCATGAGGTTGTGATTGAAAACCCCTTCCACCGGAAGTCTGTGGATAGTTAATACAGTAATATTTAGTGTCCCTTTAACTTTTGCATCTGAGAAAATAACCTTATTGACTGGTTTGAATATGTATAACTTGGCATCAGTTCAATTTATATAAATCACAAAAACATATAAGAACCTAGTTCTCTCGCTGAGTATCAAAAGTGTTCTTTTGAGTGTTGAGTCAGGTGAATGTGCATGATTTTAGCTAGATTTTCTATTTCCTCAGTTTCATCTCATAAGAAGTTAAGCCTGTCTCACATACCTTTTGGCATGTTGGATGCGCTCTAAAATCAGTCCCTCAGCCAAAAGGCAAATATATTGAAATCGGTGCAATTACACACTAGCTGTAAAAAGCCTGAAAGACCAAGTCCACGTAGTAATAAGTGTGTATAATAGCAAAATTTCTCATTGAAATTTACTTTGGAAACAAAATAAATCTGTGTAATAATTTGAGTTACATGTATTATGTAATCTGTGTATTGAATTTTGGAATAACAAACGTTTTCTCATGGGGGGGGAAACACATTTTGAATTGATCGCCTCTTGTTTTCCCTACAATTTCTCATAGTCTACTACTCTTGTGGAACAGTTAAAATAAAGGTTTTTGTAAATTCTCTCGTCTCGTTTAAAAAAAAAAAAAAAAAAAATTTTTATTAGGGTGACATCCATTGCTGATCGTCTGAATGTTGACTTTGCCCTGATTCACAAGGAAAGGAAAAAAGCCAATGAAGTGGATCGCATGGTGCTTGTTGGGGACGTGAAAGATAAAGTAGCTATTCTTGTTGATGACATGGCTGATACCTGTGGAACAATTTGTCATGCTGCAGAAAAGTAAGTGATCAAGAAAATAGTGACATTGTCAGGGTTATTCGCTGTGTATTTAAAGCAAATTTTAAATTTAAGTTTAAAATAACTGACCCAGAAAATATTCTCTAAATCAGATTCTCACTTCAGTGAATATGTTTTCAATGCATAAAGTATCCCAACATACCAGTGAGTTGTGGCTCTAAATTTCTAAAAACTAGATGTTTTAAACCCTAGATCTATACACTCACTCCATGCTCAGTATTTAAAAAAAAAAAAAAAAAAAAAAACACACAGGAAAATCTCTGCATTCCTCCTGTCTGCCTGTCACTGTTTAAAAGACAGGTAGCACTTTTCATGTCTAGTTTCTTTGAAAGATGGTGAGTGGTGTCACAGGGGCTTCTTTCCATACTAGTATTTTTTTACATTTGTGTGCCTATTATTTCTATTCTTTAGTGTGTCTGTAAACACTAAGAACATTGTGTTCCATCTATAGGTGTCCACAATTGCAGGGTTTTAAATTTCAAGTTCAAAGCTATAAGCCAGGCCTAATATATTACTCACCACTTCAAGCCGTGTAATACCCACCAGGGGTTAATTTCTACTGTGGGCAAACTTTTCATTTGCTGCTCGCTAGTGGTTGGTGGAAATTTGAAGCCCCTTACTAATGCATGAAAAGGTGCCACAAAAGAGCAAGAATGTAAACCAATATATCACACAGAGTTTTTCTCTTTGTGAAATTACACCATAGTTAACAATGCATTCCTGTATAATTCTTGCACACTCAACCTGTGTAAATATACAACAAATTGGCCAGATGAGGAGCTGGCTGTTGTGTGTCAACACCTTGTCCTCTTTGCAAACTGTGGCTAATTTTAGGTGGTTATGTTTATTTTTCCTTAAGATTCTCTGTTGGCTATAGCTAGTCCTAATAACGTTGTGTTGCATTCTCAGGATTTCAATGCAAAGTGTACTGCTGAGAACACACACTTTAATTGCATTCCATTTTAATTTTTCAACAATTTAGTAGATAAATCCCCATATAAAACATGCAGAATTGAAATGCATGCATGTTTTCTTTGGGGACGTATGTATAGTGCACCAAATTCATTACTGTTACAATGTTGCTGCTGTAAATACCTTTGCAAGGCATCCCCTCTTTTCCCCGAGATGGACTTTAATTCATTGCTGAGGAATGCATCATTCAGAGGCTTCTTACTGTGTGCTTCTCGATGAGCTGTAGTACAGCTCACTGAGAAGAGGGAAAGCCGGTAGGTGCATGCCACTCCAGTGCGCCTGTCTTTCATTGGCCACGAGGAGGTGTTCTAGTAAAGTTTTATATAACAAAAAAGTGGAAATCGGCACTTTTTTGTATAAACTGTAACAAATTTGTCAGCACAGCAAGCTGAAGTACTTTGTGTTCCTTGAGTGTTCATTTAATTTTAAGTGGTGATTGAAAGGGTTAATGCTGTTCTGGACTCCACTCCCCTCGATTCTCCGGTCACCACAATCAATATTGATGGAGAATCATTGTTAGCAATAAAGACACAGGCACCACAAATGTGCTTTAACAAGATTCTCAGTGAGTATATTTTCAGGGCTAGCATTTATACACAGTTTGTCACACAAGCAGGGAGATTTATCTCTTCCTTATAGTTAATAGTACATACTTGTCTGGCATTAAAAGATAAGCATTTGAATAAAGACTGGACAGGAACATCCTGAGGTCGAGCAAGGTCGCACATCCTCTAGAAGGAAGACCTTGGCACAAAATACATCTGCCAAAGTCAGCATAATTATTTCAAACATAATTTTAAAGCATATAAAACAAAAAGAGTTTAACTATTTCATATCCTTACAGTCAGCACTAATTATAAACCTTATCTAAGCATAAAATACATATGAACAAGAAAAGTTAACTACTTCATATTCTTACAGTGATGGTTGTTGTGCTGTGTGGTGTTTGTCAACAAAAACAATCCCACATCCAGGCGATTGTAGCATTTACAACAGCAATATCATAACTGTTATTAATCTGGTGCAATATACACTTTATCAAGACTAGAAGTTGAGTATTGTGTGGGTTCTTATTTATTTATATATATTTTTGCACTTTGGGGGTTGCAACTCTACTTTTGGGGGAGTTGAATGCACTTTTGCATAGAACCCTCCCTCATCAGAAAAGGGCTCTGCTAAACCGGAACCTCTCATTTTGGTAAGTTTCAACTGATCTTATTTCAGTCCACACTATAGTTCTGTTTCCAATTATGGTCTGATCGTTTGGTATTAGGTTGTTTAACACCAAGCCTGTGTTCCATGTATTACTTCAGATGAATGTAGCTACTTTTTTAACTAATGCAGCTCTGCTATGACCGATGACAATTGGTGCACAGTTGTGAACCGGGCATTGTACAGGAATCGGCGGAGCTGCAAATGTGTTTAACTAGCCTCTCCTTGGGCACATTTTGAACACCACTTGGTCAAAATTTACTTAGGCCCAAAAGATAGGATTCAAAAATCTCTTCTGTGTTGTATTAAAATAACGTTTTAAAAGTTGTTTTCAATCATTCCCGCGCAGTTTAACATAAAACTAAGCTGTAACTATCTTAAGTGAGGATGCCTGCAATGACTTGGCACTATAGCCTCTTTAACGGTTATAGCAATTTGAGTTGTTGGAGTTTGACTGTGTTGGCTTACCCAACATTTAGTTAATCAGCTCCATAGTATCTTACATCATTAAGTTTCACTTTTTTTTTTTTTCCTCCAGACTCCTGTCAGCTGGAGCCACAAAGGTATATGCCATCCTGACACATGGTATATTTTCTGGTCCAGCCATTTCTCGAATTAATAATGCCTGTTTTGAAGCAGTAGTGGTAACCAACACAATTCCACAAGAAGAAAAGATAAAACATTGTTCGAAGATCCAGGTGGGTGTATTTTTAAGTATGCTTTCAGGTGCGATGGGTAATTATATTTTTACCTTAGTTAGCAAAGTGCAAATAGTAGAAGTGTGTGTGTGTGTCTCTCTCTCTCTCTCTCTCTCTCTATCTATCTATCTATCTATCTATCTATCTAAACATGGTTTTATAATCCGATCTGTTTTGTTAATTATAGCAGGTTGTATCACATCAAACATCATTATCTGCATGGCCTGTATGTCTTGTACATAATCAAATTCTACAAAATGTTAACCGGGTATACACTTATCTTGTCCCATTAGGCTGCCAAAGCTAGTCAACAGTCCATTCATCTAAGCTGGGGGAAAATGTAAACTCTAATTGTTGTCTTTGGCCAAACCATGTATGCATAACAAGTAGCCTATATATTGCTCTTTAGGCTCTAGTTCTTTAGATCCATTGTAACGTCACAGATTATATCCAGGGTATATCAAGATTGTTCTTCCTTAGAAACTGGTTCTGGGAAAGGGGAAGGGAACACTATCATGAAATGCAAGAAATCACTTTCAGGTAAGAACCCTGGAACTGGTCTTAGGGCAATGGTATTAGTTAGAAATTGATTAAACAGAGGCTCTTATTAGAGAACCTGGATTTCTTAGGGAATTCAGGCTGATGTAATATTATCTGCCATTCTGAAGAAGACTCAGGGAGCTCAACGGGAAAGTGTGATGTTCCATAAAGGTGCAAATTTAAGAGGATGAATTCTCATGAATCTTTTGATGACTGGATCCACTGTACGTTGAATATTGGGAATGGCTAAATATGTCAAAAGTGGAATCTTTGGTGAGTGAACAAAGTTTTATCTCATTGAACATCTCTGAAGTATTTCCAGCATAGTCTCTACCTTTCCAAGCCATCATGTGGAACATTCCTGTGTTCTGCACATGATCTCCCATGGTTCTGCAATCTGTTACTTATTTGTTTTCCTGATTACTTAGAATCGGTCAAAAGACGTATCACAAGTGGAATTTTTGAGAGCAAAGTGAAAGCATGCCGATCTAACTTTGAGTTGTATCCTTGTAGGAAGAATTTGAGGCTTAATACTTCTTCTAATGATAATCCTCATGTATAGTTTTTTTGTTTTTCTTCTTCTCCTGTTGCTTCACTACTTTAGGCTTAGTCTAACTTCTTTTGAGATGAAAATGTTTTGTTCTTCCTGATATAACTAATGCATGAATTCTTATACCTACTTGATGTTCCGGGCCTATTAGGGAGGAGGGGGCCCCAGTACACTTACGTACTCTGAGAGTTAATCCTTTTCCTGTAAAGTGTTTTTATAGCTGTTTGGCTAGAAGTCAAAAAATACTTCCTATAATAATATCAAAGCTGTTCTGGTATTTTTCAAAGGAAGAATTGATTCTTACTTTGGGTGAACAAGTCCACCATGTTTTCTGTGACACATATGACCTATACATATTGATGGACAGCCCTATAGTTTTAGAATTCAGAAGAATGTGCATTATATTAAGCTATTGGGCAATGAAGAATCATGCAATTAGGCATTCTACAATAATACAGAATATGCATTTTACACACTGCAGGGCCGCCCTTTTCATGCGTTTTCATAAATATGAGAAATATGTGTCCCTGTAAACATGTTGGATCTGGCCAGCCTGTCATTTTACAAGCTCCTTTTGAAGTTCACCCCAGATCCAAAGTGTACTCCTTTGCAGTGACTGTTTTATTTACAATCTGAATATCATTGAGATAATGGTATGTTTGTTGCTTTCTTGTAGAGATGATCAGCTAGATGAGGACTTTTTAAGATGTTCTAGGAACTGAATTTGGCACAAATTGGCATCCTTGGAACTGTTGCAAAGCATAGATACTTGAAGTTCTTTTAAACAATCTGTATGTGATGATAAACTTCCAGACACTAACAAATTATGGATCTGAGTAAGAATGGGTGTGAGATTTTCTGTCATGAAGTCTATTTCTAGATGGACATTTTCAGGTCCAAAATCCATTCTGGGGTTCTTTGCAGCCTTTATGTCAAGAATTATTGGAGAATCTATTATTCTGTATTTCTTATACTGGAACCAATACAATTTATTGTTCTAAAAAAATATTTTGGATGCATTCTTTCATTGTGTTAGCTTTACTCGGGGAGGAAATGTTCCAGTGTTGGATGTTTGTGAAGGCACAAAGGCAAGTTGTACCATGCCAGCTTCAAATAATTTTATCTGTCTTCCTCAGCCACGGGAGCAAAATAGAATGACAAAGTATGAGGATTTAGCATAGGGCTTGGCAAACTGTAACTTCCCCGATTTTGTAGAACTGCAGCGTCCATGGTGCTTTGCCATTCTACTTGGCGCGCCGTTTGTTTAGCAGGGGCCATATTTTGTGTTTGCCTGGGCACCTGTTTCTTAGGTGAATGGCTTTTCTATCTGCCTCCATGCTTATCTTGGCGAAATTGGTCTGTGATGACTAGAAAATTTGGTTTTTTTTTTTTTATTTATTTATTTTTTTATCCATGGTTGAACAGGCTTAAACAAATCGGATGCATTTTATTTGTGTGTGTGTGTGTCACAAAATTGTGTATCGGTACCCAAAGAATCATAACTATTGTAGATGGTAATAATCCTAAGGTTAATTTTTTTTTTTTTTTTTTTAAATGTATTTTATTTAAATTGTCTAAATACCCACCAGAGAGTGAAGCATAAAGGACTAACATGCAATATGTAAAATGTCCACAAGGTGTCTACCTAATCTCCATGAAGAAAATAGTGACGACAATGTTAAATGCAATTGAGTAGGGACATAGACAACCTATTTGGTTATATAATTTAAGGGACTCTAATGCTAATTTAGCTATCCGTAGCTACAATATCTGACAACCATAAAATAAGTCTCATAGAAGAACATTTCTGCATAAAGCTACGTACTTGATGTGCACTTATTGTAGCTGCTGTGTAAAGTTACTTATCTTGTTCCATGCCTGAAAATATTCATACTTTCGAGACCTTTTTATTTTCAATACCTAAAGCATTTAATAGAAATGGCATGCAAGTGTCCGCTATGTTATCTATAGTGAAACGTTCGATTACCACAAAATCTAGATCACTTCTTGCGGAAGCTTCCATAGCCAGTAGTCCTGTTATTCAAGTAGTCTCCCATTAATCATTCATATTAAAGGGACACTCCATTGTTGTAAAAAAATAAAGCTATTTAGTTGATATACTCTCCCCTCCACCAACTTGATTATTTAAAAACAGCCAACAAATTCTGCAGCACTGTTCAGTAGGTTGACTAATAAACAAGTAGTCACCACTTCAGTGAAAAGTCTTTGGAAGGCAGATGCTCTGAGCAATTGTCTACTTCTTGAGTTTAGCTCCAATGAGCTAAGCAACCAGGAAGTAACAGCACTGTTTGACTGCCGGAGAGCATAACGAGATTCATTTATGAAAGTGACCATTTTTATTTAAATTAATTGTGTGAAATAAAAAAAAAAAGAGGGCACACTTTTCCCACATAACACATTTCAGCAAGCTGCTGAAAAATAACAAGCTCCTTGTATATCAAACCACTCGAGGAGCCTAAGTTTAAAAAGTCCACTTTGGGGTGTACTTTTTTACTTAGCCACTTTGAGTGGTTTGATCTACAAGGAGCTTGTTATTTCTTTTTTCTTTTTATTTGTATTTTATCTTCTGATACCTTTTTTATTAAAATAAGTATTGTTTTTACACATTCTTTGGTGTGGATCCTCTTAGGACTACTAAAGGGCGCGAAATCAGTGGGATCCCTTCAAACTATCCCACAGGCGTTTAAACTGAGCCATATCCATCTGGCTCTGTCCTTGTGAGTACTGAATCACACAATTTATACTGAGTTACCTATGTACCGTATGATGTTGCACTAGGTGCTTGTCAATATTTTTTCTCTACAGCTATCCCATTGTACTTTTTTGCAAATTACCTCATACCTTGTAACCAAGAGCCAAGATACTCCATCTATTGTGTATGAATACTGCTAGTAAAAAGACAATCGCCGAGACAGGTTTTTTTTTTGGGAATTTGTAACGTTTATTAATTTTCACAATGTACAAACACTTAACATCAAAAGCATAAAGCGAATCATCAGTCTTAATTAAATATACTTGGAAAAAACAGACGTAAAGGAAAAAAAAGCACCACCAATACAAGCGAGAAAAGCTCTTCGAGGAGAAATAATATAAGAAAGGGGATCTCACATGTAGCTGCTTAACAATAATTAAAAAAAAAAACAATGTCTGGGGAAAGGTATGTCCTATTTTAGTTTCTCAATCTAATCTAATCATTTTGTATAGTCTGCATATTGGCACCAGCAAATGCTTATCTCCATTTCCATCTTTAATTTGAAACGAGACGTTGTTCTTTCACTAAGAGCCAGCATTGGACAATATCAGTCTTACAGTTTCTAAATTGTAACATTTTGGCTTGTGCCAAGATGTGTATAATGATCGTTGAAGAGAAGCCTAAAATTTTTGTTGAAAGTTTAGTTGTAATAAAAAGAAGCTGGAATGAAAATCTATCGGTTTTCTTTTTTTTTTTTTTTTCTTACCCCTTGTCTGCCAGAATATTATCCCCAGGTTTTTGTTCAAGTCTACAGTATCACTATACCAAGCATCTTCTTTAGACTTCTCATATGGAGTGCAGATTATATGGGTAAGGGTACAGGCTTCCAGTACTCCCTTTATCAGGGGTACTCTCTACTCCACTTGGTTTAATTTCAGAGCCGGACATCTTGCGTTGTCTTGCGTTACATCTTGCCAAGCCAAATTAACCAAAGCTAACCAGTTATCTGGACAAGAAACAGGGTCATATAAAAATAAATAAGTGGTATTCTTATCAACCCCTAAAAACAAATTAACTTGAATTTAAAAAAAAATAAAACATTTTTAATTTAAAATTCATAGAAATAACAGTTTTACAACACTGCAGTTGGCTCTGCAACCCAAAAATAGCGTAAGTTTGAAATCCAGGTTTATTTTGCCTTTGAATTTGAAGGTGAATAAAACAAAAACCAAAAAGGTTATGGTGGGGAAAAAATGTGATTGAAAACCCCTTCCACCTGACGTCTGTGGATAGTCAATACAGTGTTAAACAAAAATCTGTACACCAGTCAAGCCATAAGACTTGCTTTTCCAACAGAAATCACAAATCTGCAGTGATGTTCCTACCGCAAAGGTTTCTTCGTGGGCATATTCGTTTAATTTTGCCTCATTCCATTTTAAACATGGATTCCTTTGAGTCTGTGTTTGATGTATACAACAGCTTTGAAACACAACTTAGGAAAAGATGCAGTCAGTGAACCACTCATGGACAGCTGTTTGATTGTTAACCCCTTCCCGACCAGGGACATATTGGGTACGTCTGACTAAAAACGGTCCTTAAAGACCGTGGACGTACCTAAAACGTCCGCGGCTAATTAGAGAGCTGGAGTCAATCAGACTCTCCCCTAGTCTTCAATCCTTTAAGAAGGGCCTTAAAACCCATCTCTTTAGGAAAGCTTATGGCCTCCCAGAGTAACCTCTACCTTACATACCTGTCTCTTGCTCTCTCCTATAGGGCAGTGCTTTACTCTCTCCTCCAGCTCTGCTTCACTCCCACCCTATTTGATATTTCCTGTCCTAACGTGTCTTATACCCCACCTCCTATAGACTGTAAGCTCGTTTGAGCAGGGTCCTCTTCGACCTATTATTCCTGTAAGTTTTCTTGTAATTGTCCTATTTATAGTTACATCCACCCCCCTCTCATAATATTGTAAAGGACTACGGAATCTGTTGGCGCTATATAAATGGCAATAATAATAATCCAGTGATACTAAAACATGTATTTTGCTTTTTACATTTTTTGAGGGTGGGTAATTATGGAATACTTGTTCCAACAGTCTGGTATTAAAACAAGTCCGTGGAGACAATGTTTGTGCAACACAGGAACAGTGATGTTTATGTAGTCACAGCCTGCTTTTTAAGATTCTGGCATATAATAAATTAGGTTATTTTTTCCCCTTCTTGTTTTTGTCAGTTATTTAAGAGGGGTGTGCATTAAGAATGTGTTGTGTGTTTTATTTTTATGTTTTTGCGGGATGGGTGAGTTTGGCTTAATATTGTTTAGTTATGTTTTTATAGTGCAATATGAAACTGTATACAAGTACAATATTTACTACATCAAGCTATTTCAGTTTTACTTGAATAAGATAATATTGACAATGACATTTGGTTGCCTGAGATGCCTTTGATTTAAAGTCTGCTGTTGCAACATTTTATAAATATTAACAAAACCAGAAAACAGATTAAATCTATTGTCTCTTAACCCATTACTTCATTTATTTTTATTTATTTATTTTTTAAATTTTTGTCTCCCCTCTTTCCAGGTTATCGATATCTCCATGATCTTGGCTGAAGCTATTCGAAGGACCCATAATGGGGAGTCTGTGTCTTATCTATTCAGCCATGTCCCATTGTAGTCCCCACAAAATGTTGATACTTCCACTCCTGCTTATCTACTTATATCCTTACTTCAATTGGTATATATTGAGGCCATATCTACGTCCTCCATGCCCTAGTACAAAGGGACAAGTGTGTTATGATTATCCAGTAGCTGTGGGGTTTCATTTATTTTGCAGTGAAGCCCCATCCGTCCAGCACATGACTTGATGAAAACGGAGTATCCAGCCATATATTTTATTCTGTTCTTTGTTTTTATGAACGTCTGTGTAAAGTAAGATATTGTTATAGAAGGGATGACGGTCAAGGAAGGATTGGACAGATATGATTGTTGTGGTTTTTTGTTTTTGTTTTTTTATAAATAAAGACAGCCGCTTGCTAACGGCAGTACAAACTAAGGACTCTTGTCAAAATATTGCCACATGCAAACACCAAGTTACTTGCTCACGCATATAACTAATGCAACACTTCCCTGCTGTTCACAGGGGTGGTCGAGATGTTGAGTGGTGCTGAATTAGGTTGGCACTTATTCGGTAATTAAAGGAACATTATATGTACAATGTTAGTGTTTCTGATGCCTTTCCAATTCAGAGACTGTGCCGAGGTTTCATTGGAACAGGACGTATTCCTTTAATAGTAAATGACTAACCAGCCAATTACTTTGTGATTGGTGCTTGGCAGCTGTCAAAGTCCCGCCCCACACCAAAACGGCAGGATATTGTATGCTGCCCTAACAGTGTTAAAGCCCACTCTGGAGGACGGTATGGAATGTTTCAGTATCTTTATATTGTAACACCTGTGATGGTACAAGTCGGTAGAAGTGGGCCCAAAATCGACGTATGGGTAAGCTTGTAAATAAGAGGGCAAAAAGGATGCAGTGAAATACACTTTATTACACATAATTTAAAGTACAAGAATTATAAAGGCTTTCCTCAACTCTTTTTCAGGTTGAGGAATATATCGGTTATACACAGACAATTTCCAACATCCTAGCATTTTAATAATATGAACTGGTGTATCTACTGGATGCAGCTGAAGCGGCACTAGTCCTGAATGAATGGCCAGAGTAAGAGGCAGGATTGAGACCCAGTCTTGGGCATAGCATCCTGACGTAGAACATAAATTTAGAGGTGGTGAGAGCAGAACCTTTAATGTGTGTAGGGGTGAATTGGTTGGTTTGTATATGATGGTATGTCAGAATAAGTCCAGGACACTGAACATTCCTAGTAGGGTACAAAGGGCTTTCTAAAGGATGGCTAGTTTGGTTGGACTTAGAATGACTTATTATGTATTATGTTCTAGTCATTGTCTCAAGACAAACCACCTCAAGAAAGTCAAAGATGTGTATCTGTCTGGGCTACCACTGTAAATTACATAGGTCTTAATAAAACCTAAAATGCTACGTAGATAACGGTTTTGATGACATTGGTAGTGTGAAAGTTAATAGGTTGAGTTTCCAGTAGGTCAGACAGGGCTCGGACTTTAGGTCCGTCTATGGGAATTCATTTGAGGGTAACAGAATTGTCTACTTTTAATACTTTCAGAATATTAATAGGATACGAAGACAGAAGAGGGTTATGGTTTGTAAATGTGGTCAGTACGTGATGTTGCACGCAAGTTAAATATAGTTTTAGGGTATTCTATCCTCCGAAGACCCAGCCCATTAACTTGTCCTCTGTACTGAACATTTAGTTCACATGCATCGCCTTTTATTCTTTTAAGCTACTCTATTAATCCCTGCTGTATTGTAAAGAGGACATCCTGGGCTTTCCAGTGGTATCCAAAATACAAACAAAACACATAGGTTACTGCTGGTAAATCGCTTCCTTTGCTCCCTGTGTCACCAACACCTGATTTAGATTAACTTTGTTTGTGCAAGTAGAATAATAACTGACATACTACATCCACAGGTTCAGTGGATGCAGTATGTCTGGTTATTCATTCACTTTTTGGGAACTTTGAACAAATATACTACTTGCATGAAGAAAGGTAATCCAAATTGGGTGTTGGTGTCACATGAAGCAAAGGAAGCATTTACCAGCCGTATACCATATATTTTGGTTGTCATAAGATTACTATCTGGGAAGTGAGCTAAGGGAGGCTGTCCATTCATTCTTTAGTTAAGTATAATTTTGCTATCACCATTTACACTGTTAATTTGTGGTGAAGGTTTCTTTTATACATTCCAGTGATATGTCAGACATGATATGCTGGGAGCTCCCTCTTCTTTTTCCTCAAAAATGGAAAGCAATCGGACGGCAATTTTTGTTTCCATTGGCTCCCAAGAGGATATAATCATTTAACCCCTTAAGTACCAAACTTCTGGAATAAAAGGGAATCGTGACATGTCACACATGTCATGTGTCCTTAAGGGGTTAAAGTGAAGGTGGCAAATGCGGTAAACTCCACCATGGTTTAAAAGGAAACGTCATTACTATGAAATTCTGTGGAGAATCTGGTAAAATATGACCATAGCTCTGTGGTACGTTTTTATAGTATTGGCAGACAAAAGATAAGGTGGCTTATGACTGTGTTCTGCCATGGGTTAGCACCAGAGTCAATCCAGGATTAGGAAAGCTGGGGATCTGTTGGTGGTTGAATGGAGGAAGAAGAATTCCTGAAATTTACCATGAGAGAGACCGCCAGCAGCCGAGTTATTGCACCCGGGAATATGCTTGGGGCATTCTAGCGTGCCTACGGGAATGCCACAATCCCAGTATGGAAATGATGAGAAAAAACGTAAACTAGGAATTCCACCAAGTGAGGAGAGGAGTGAGAGTGTAAGTAAGATGACAGATTGTTGATATTGACTCGGTCAGTCATTGTTTTTTCTACAATTTTGAAGGGCACATTGACCTGGCATGTGCCCTAAAGCAATGAGCAGACATGCAATAATCTGAAAGCACTGAAACTACACACGCCTGTCTTAAAATGACTGCAAATCTATGCTTTGTCCAAGCACACGATGGGCCATCCCAGTTTATCCTTCAAACCTCATTCTAGTTTGCCAGATAAACTGGAACTAGCATAGGAAGTGCTCACAGGGGCACAAATTAGTGGAGTGGGAGGATGACGAACAGGCAGCGCAAGACAGATTTCAAGCCTGCAAAATGTCTGCAGAACAGCTGCGTATCCAACTGGCTCCAGTCAGTTCGTATGTTAAATTGGGTCAAAGCTGCTGTTGCTTTTGCCGACATAGACTTGTGGTAGTTTAAAGTTCACTAATTTGTGTATGTTCAGGTCTAATTCTTCACATTGAAGTGGGAAAACAGAACCAGTGACATCTCTGTACAAGCCAAAGGCTAGGACGAATTTGGGGGTGGTTAGTTGTTTTTTTTTTCTTTTCCATTCTGTCTCTGGTCCCTAGTCTTCGGTACCACAGCCCAGTCACCATAATTCTGTTTTATTATCTGAGGTCTTGGGAAGCGATTCATAATGAAGAATGTTTTTGCAGAGAGCGGGGCCAACCAGCTGTGCAGGGGTGATGATGTGTATTGATGAAGGGGGAGGAAAAAAAGGGAGCACTACCCTGCGTAATGGAAAGGGGCGTGACCCAGAGTTGAAGTAACCAGAGGAGCATTAGCGAGACCAGTGCCGAAGTTTTCAATTTGGTAAGTCTCTCATTGATTGTATAGAGAACATAATGTAGCCATTGTATCCTGAATTTAAAGGGACTCTCCAGTGCCTGACACTGCAGGTCCCCTCTCCCTCCCACCACCCATCCCCAGTTGCTGAAGGGGTGAAAACCCCCTTTAGTGACTTACCTGAGACCCCCGCGGATGTCTCTCGGCAGTGGTTTCGGGTCACCGCTGCTCTTCCCCTTAATCACGTCAGCTGCGGGGGAGACTGATCCCGCCCGCCGGCTGAGGAGACCTAATGCGCATGCGTGGCACGCCCATAAGATCTCTCCATAGGAAAGCACTGAAAATGCTTTTCAATGTATTCCTATGGGGAATATAGCGACGCTAATGAAAACCTGTGCTTTGAATCAGGAAGTGCCCTCTAGTGGCTGTTTAGTAGCCACTAGAGGAGGAGTTAACCCTGCAATGTAATTATTGCAGTCCATGAAAACTGCAATAATTACAGTTGCTGGGTTAAGAGTAGTGGGAGATGGCAACCAGACCACTCCAATGGGCAGAAGTGGTCTGGGTGTCTGGAGTGTCCCTTTAAGCAAGACTGTCCGAGCAGTTACCCCGTTAGCTGGTACCCAGCCTAGGGTCATCAGGGTGTGAAGAAAGCAGGCGATAGTTCTGCCTGCTGTAGCTGAGCTCCCTGTACCCCGGCTGGGTACCTCAGCCAAGAATCGTTTCCTAGCTGCAACTGGGGTTCTCCTGGAGCCTCTCTGTCCTGGAACAAGATAGAGGACTAGCTCTATTCCCTCCCAGGGTCTGGACGACACACAGTCCTAGGAGCTCTAGTCCTTACAAGGACTTTACCCGTTGAATCCTCCACGAGCAGGAATCAGATGCTGAGTAGTGAATAGCCATTTCCCCTCCCAAATGTCCCCTAGACGACACACTGATTTTAATAAGCCAAACTCTGCCTTTTATGCACAGACTCTAAACAATACAATGCAAGCCCCTCCCAGGAATCTAAGGGCCTGGGGGATAATTGGGTTAAAGACAGGTAAGCTAATTATCTACCAGGAACAGACAGCCCAACACAAAACATAAAAGAACCTTAAAACATATAATAACAAAGAGATGGGCCTGAAACATTTGCATTGGTCCATGGTTTTGGCAAGTTGGAGATGTGAGCAAGCAACATCTCCTCCGGTAGGGAGCCCCCACCGCGCAATGATTGAACAGTTCTCTAAGGGGCTGGGAGAGGATACTAGAGTAAGTGTGATATTTGTTAGATAGGCCATCAGGGCCTGGGGCTTTGTGTGATGGGAGTGAAGAGATTACAGAGGCAATCTCCTCTGTGGTAAACTGGCATCGGTAGCTGATCGGGTCGGGAGGCTAACGTCTGAGAGGAACGTGTCTATAGCTGCCGTGGAGGGGCTGAGTGTCTGTGGGTCGGTTTTCAAGTTATACAGTTGTTCATAGTACTGTGCAAACTCGTCCACAATCCCTTGCGGGTCCAGTATTTTGTTAACCATAGTGCCTTTGAGGGAGGCAATCCTGGAGGCTGCGGCCCTTTGTTTCAATTGAAAGGCCAATTTTGCCCCTGCTTTATTACCAGCCACAAAGTATCTATGTTTGAGCCTCCGTGTGAGGAATGTAGTCTTGGCCAGTTCTATGTCTCTAAGCTGTGATTGTAGGAGTAGCAGTCTAGCGTGTGTGGATGCAGTGGGAAAATGTTTATTGGTATGAGTTAGTAAGGTCAGTTCCGAGATCACAGACGTGTATTTCTCCAAGCACCTCTTTTTGGCATAGTTAGCGTGTTTGATAAAGCAGCCCCTGATGTAGGCTTTGTGTGCTAGCCAAATTTGGTCTAGAGGAGAGTAATGCCGCAGATCCTGCTCTATGTGAGCGACTACGTCTGGGTCTAAGAGCAGCTGTTCATTTAGTCTCCAGCTGCCCCTTCCTGCGTTTGTAACATAGGGAGAGGGTTTTGGGTTTCATCGGGGCCGTCCAGCACCAGTACGGCAGCGACTGTTAAGATATGGGACGAGTTTGTCATCCTTGGGATGGAAAAAACTGTTCCACCCCAGGGCCCCTTTGACAGTGCTCCGAGCAGTGAACCCTACGATTCCCCTCTCCAGGTGGACTCATCTCGGAATATCCCAAATCCACCAGCTGTGCAAAGGAGAAACAATCTTACCATTCCGAGACATGGGGGGTACCTGAGGGTGACATGTTCCCATATTTACAGCTGAAACACACTGTAAATACGCATGTTAAGTTTGCGCCTGCCTCTGTACTCAACCACACTGACCGCAGGACAGGTGTCCCACAGGTGCTGGACGGCCCCGATGAAACCCAAAACCCTCTCCCTATGTTACAAAGCTTGGCTGGAGCTGGCACCAAACAAACCACTGGGAAACAGATAGTGGGATAAAGTTGACAGACGGGGATTGGATGCTAGCACTAAATGGTGTAAAGAAGTGGACCAAGTGCTACTCCCATATGGAGGCGCATTGTAAACTGTTGTATAGGTGGTATATGACTGCCCACCGATTGCATAGAATCTTCCCCACCGTGCCGGCGGAGTGCTGGCAATGTTCTACGGAGGAGGGCACCATGCCACACCTCTGGTGGCACTGCAGCGGTATCCAGCCTCTGTGGGAAGATGTCAGGGACCTGCTAGAATCGTTGGGTATCCGGGTTTTCCCCATGACTATCACTACTTGCCTCCTTCTATTATTCCCCAGGGAAGTACAGGGGACCCACAAACAACTGATCGCACTGATTCTCATGGCAGCCCGCAACCTGATAGCGCTAAACTGGAAGAAACATACCTGCCCATCCCTCCAGCAGCTAAAGGATAAAGTACAACAGTTTTATGTGTATGAGAGGATGTCCACGAACACTGCACATTTTAGGGAGGTGTGGGGGGTATGGGAGACCTGGTACAATGGAGGGGAACATGGCACGGAGTAGGGGGGGGGGCAGGAGAGGGATATGGCGGGGAACACAACCACCCATAGGATGCTACTCCCTGACTGATGTGAAATGGAGAATATGGTAGATGCCTAGTACTATCCCAACTAGCTCATGCCTTTATGTGTGGATTTGTAAATACCTTTGTTACGTATGATTTATGGTTTTCTTCATAGTTCTAATGCATACCATCTTGTGGTTAACTGGTCCAAGATCAGACTTAACTAATCACCAACTTGAGCCAATTTTCTACTGTATGAAGTCCACAGTTGCTCCAATTATGCTATATTATCTTATTATGTCGATGACTGTATACATGTCTATATTCACTGAGTTGTAACTATGTACTGGATATATATCTATGAAAACCTCTCAATAAAATATAATTACAAAAAAACAAAAACATATAATAACCCCACATGTCATACATCCCCAAACAGCCCTGATCTAAGTGCCCAAGTTGTACAAATAGCACTCAGATCCAAAGTTCGGAAGCTCCTGCGGCCGCAATACGGCGTGCTGGCTTTCAGGTAGCGTTTATTCACCTTAGTCTCAGACACCTTCCCTCAAAAAAGCCCTCTCCTGGTGGGTCGCAGAGTGATTCAAAACCCTGGACCAAGTTGTCCGAGAACCGCAAGGTCACCTCGTGCCGAAAACAGTTCCATAACATTCACAGCTAAGTACTGCTGAGGTGACCGGGAAGCACAAAGTCCTCATGTCAAAATAGTGGTCGTGGCTAAATACCGCTGAGGACCATTCGTGGTTTTGGTTCATGCCAAGGAGCTAGCGTTTAGTTCCATCCAAATAAGGTTAAAGTGCGGAACCAGGGGCACCGAGGGAAAGCTGCTAATGGCAGCTGAGCAGGGTAACTCCCGCACGGGATCTCTGACCTGGACCATAGTAGGTGGGCAGGAGGCCAGCTTCCGCACTCCTCCAGGAGTTTGTGAGAAGAAGCATTCTGTCACACCTGCTTAGCCGTGGAGGGGAAGCTAGTACCTGTAAGGTGCAGTTCGTCCGAGATCTTGGGTATTGTCCAAGACCTTAGGGACCCGGGTGTGGTGGTTTGCTGGGATTTAGTTGGGGTAACAGGTCAATGGGTGCATGGCCTAGTGGGTGTGCAAGGGAGAGATGGTTCTTCTCCTTGGTTGTATTCTTGAGACATACTAAAAAGAAGACACAAGTAAATAACTAAATTATAAATACCCATCATGCCTGTAGAACTGGCTTCCTATCTAGTGCCAAAGCAAAAACTGTCTACCCCGTGACTGGTGAGGCCCTGCTAAAAGTCAAGCGGCTGAGGGGAGGTTCTCTCTGTGATTAGGTTGTGTGGCTCGAGGCACCGAACATTGTGGTAGGGTGTTGGCCTCTCAGTGACAGTAAAAGAATCAAAAACATGTAACCGTGACAAGTGTGGCACTAACTGAAACCTAGAAGGTCGGTGCAGTGGTGTATCCTGGTTTTGTGCTGCCCTAGGCAGGACAAAACTCAGGCGCCCCCCTGCCCCCGCGCCACCCCCACCCAACCCTTCCCCCCCCACCTTCTAAATACACACACACACACAGTCAGACACACACACACACACAGTCAGACACAAACACACACACAGTCAGACACAAACACACACACAGTCAGACACAAATACACACACACGGTCAGACACAAACACACACAGTCAGACACAAACACACACACAGTCAGACACACACACACACACACACACAGTCAGACACACACACACACACACACACACATACACAGAGGACACACACACACACACACACACACAGTCAGAGCACACACACACACACACACACACACACACACACACACACACACACAGTCACACACACACACACACACACACACACACACACACACACACACACACACACACACACACACACACAGTCAGACACACACACACACATACACAGTCAGACACACACACACACACACAGTCAGACACACATACATACATACACAGTCAGACACACACACACACACATACACAAATACACACACAGAGTCAGGCACAAACACACACACACACACAGTCAGACACACACACACACACACACACACACACAGTCAGACACACACACACACATTAACTTTTTTTCTTTTAAATTAAATCCCCCCCCAACCTCCTTACCTTTGGGAGTGCTGGGAGGGGGGGAGGTCTCTCTCTCCCTGGTGGTCCAGTGGCTGCAGGTCGGGCGGGCGGGCGGCCGGCGAGGGAGCTCTTCCCATGAGCTGACTGCTCAGCTCCCTCGCGCGCCGGCTGCAGAGTGAGGCTGGGAGCCGGAAGATGACGTCATATTCCGGCTCCCAGCCTCACTCTGCGGCCGCGAGGGAGCTGAGCAGTCAGCTCATGGGAAGAGCTCCCTCGCCGGCCGCCCGCCCGCCCAGCGCTGCAGCCACTGGCGCCCAGAATGTCTGTTAGCCGCGAGGCTAACTAGGCATTTGCCCTGGGCATTTGGGGGGCGGCGTTTTTTGCCGCCCCCTGAAAAATGCCGCCCAAGGCAAATGCCTTGTTTGCCTCGCGGCTAATACGTCCCTGGGTCGGTGTGGTGAGGCTATGACTATGATGAAGGCCGCTTGGGCGAAACCTCCGTGTTGAGGTGGAGATTTGGTTTTGTTGGCCAAATACTTTAAACTAACTAACTAAGGCCTGTACCTGACTGCCAGTTCTCTAACCCTAGACTAGGACTTGATAAAAAGAATGTAATGATAGTAGTTGGGTTACATACTTAGGATAATAACCAAAACATGTAGCTTGAAAAGAAGTAGTGGAAGACATCTAAAGATGTAAAATGAGTATCAACTAACCTATAATATGCAAGGAGATTTAACTTAAATAATAATAATAACCAACTGTGTAGCAGATGCCTGTTCACTTCAAAAATAGGAAGCATAGATGGACAAGATCTACATATAAATACAAATTAGATGCAGACCAGTCATAAACTTATAGAAATTAATAATAATAATATGTGTAGATAAATATCTATAATGCCAGAAGCAACCCAAATTAACAAAAGGGTAATAAGGTATACCTATAACAAGATGAATATATGACATGACTACCACAGAGAAACAGGAAAAGGACATAGCTTGAGTTTATTACTTGAAAAAGAGAAAAGTATATAAGAACAATGGAAGAACAAAAATGAGGAGATGGAAGCTTAGGGAATACACTCATAAAGGGGTTAACCAATCAAAAACTACCCAAGTAGTAAGAAAAAAGGGGGGGAAATGAAAAACTGAGTGCCCTAATGAAATAAAATATAACCTTTAATAATTATGTTAAAAGAGATAAATAAGTGTCCATAAATGAGAAAATACTCGAAAATTCAAAATATAAATATACAAGGCTAAATAAATACATACACCTAGGAATGCCTACTAGGTAAAAAGCACTAAATAGTTACCTGATCCTTTGGATATGACATTGAGAGTTAGCTGATATTAACAAAGTATCAATATGGAGACAAAGGATACATTAATAGCAAAAACCAACATAAGGACATCTGTAACAGGATATGTTTCCTAAGCCGCTGTCTAGTGTGAGGCTAAAGACAATTAGTAAAGATGAGTACAGATAGTCACTCAAAAGGTTAAACCTATCCTAATAAGTAACACCTTAAACTAAAGGAGATAAAATGCACCTTTGAGTTATAAGTAAAGAGGTCCTGTTCAAAAGTTTTCAGTGTCCTCTACTCAGTGCTAACTGCAAAAAATAATATTGCAGTGATCGTAAGCACAATCCCCAGTGATCATTCCAATAGGCTGTGTAAATACATATCTGCACAGTCAATAGTCTACATATATAATGTTGCACTAAAATAAGTGAAACATTAGGAATACATATACACAGTGCAGCATGTACAGATATACCTGCACTAAGAACAATGTCAGTCTAAGTAAATCCACTAACTGAAATCAAATGCCGATATAGCAGATGCTATAGGATATTGCAAAAATACTTATATCGGTTTTTGGTCAAATATATGCCTATTATACACACTGACAAATTATTTACAGAGTGTTGCAAAATACCTAAATAGGCTATTAATCAAATATATGCCTGTTATTAATACTGAGAAATTATTACCAAGGTAAAGGCTGCTAGGTAGTAAAGGTAAAATCGCCACTCATTGGTCTGATACTATAACTATTATTACAGATGATGTGAGGCTGGTTGTGTACAAATATGGGGGTAACAGGCCAAACAACTGAAGCAAATAGAAATACATGCATAAATGTACCTGAGACTCCCATGAGATTTGTCAGACGATTTGGAGTAATTGCCACGGCAGAGCCAAGGCCGGACAGGAAGCGGGTCTGGACTGCAGGAGGTGGCTGTTTTTATGATGGTTTTCCAGGATTGAGGAATGGCGTGAGGAGCAACGGGAAACGGAAGTCAGCAGGAAAGTATGGCCTGCACAATGATCTGTATGGTATGGCAGAGGTAAGGGGATTATATAGGAATGCAAACTCCTTCCACAAATACAGGCATCTGGCCTTAAAATATATATTTGTGGTCTAGGTCAATAAGCTGAGTTATGTTAGTGGTGCACAAGTCAGTTGTGGTGTGCCAAACTGACGTTCGGGTGAGCCTGTAAAAAGAGGGCAAAAAAGTTAATAGTTTAACACTTTAATACATGTCGACATTACACAATCAATACTTTAAATTATATCAGCATTTATAACCATACCTGAAGGAGAAAATTTGTTTGTGGGAGACGGCATAACATAAAAATACTGGCTGATCTGTGTTATGCCAAGTTGCAAAATAATTAGGCTAAATTAATAATTTTGGAACCTATCTAATTGCCAAGTGGCAGTGAGAGGCTCTACCTATGATTTGGCCCATTGGGTAGGTTTGCCATCGAGTGTTGTGGTGGGGTGTTGGCCCCTCGGTGAGGATAAAAGAGATTCAAAATAAGTTAGCCGGGGGTGGGGGGGGGCCTGACTGCAATGGCGACTGGACATCTTTT